AAAAAACAAAAAACAAAAAACAAAAACGCAAAACAATCAAACAAAAACAAAAGAGGACAAGAAGCACTATGTTTTTAATCATTTTCATCATGGAGACGTCTTAAATCATCCGATAAGTCAGAGATCAAAGAGTCTGTAAAGACATCTTAGTTTCAGATCAATCATGCTCCTGTCAGACACCCAAACAGCATTGTTTCAAAACATTAACAGCAACAATAACTGACAGGTTGCACCATCTATTTCTACTCTAACATTTGATGTACACTGTATGGAAAATGTATCACACATCTGCAACATATTTCTCAAATTAATATCCTGCTCTCATTCTCCTACTTCATCAAGAGGCAATGGCATGAGAAGCAGACATTTTCTGGACGATCTGCAACTCAAATCATCCATCCAGTCAAAACTTAATTTTGCAGTTATCGTCTTGCTTCTGCATCTTGAGAACTAATAAACATCTGTTCCTCAAAAACCCCCCACAAAAAACCCCTAAAAACTAAATGAGAACTGAGCTTCATCATCATCATCATCATCATCAGGTGCTAACTTGTGGAATCAAACACCAAGTACTTCACAGAACTCACTTGAAAAAAAAAAAGGTTATATCTAGATTCATATCAGAAATATTACCATATTGTGTACAAAATATGCTAGTTAGCTCTGATCACCCTACTTCATTCTGTGCAGCAGCTACACAACTTTGGAAAGACACCAGGTCACTCTCTGTCTTTCAAGGCTGCCACTACTCCCCATCCCTCCACCTGCCCAAGAGACATATTAACAATTTTAACAGGGAAAAAAAACAACGCAGAATATCTATAATATCTATATTTGACAATCTAGAACAAAACTTACATACTACATCCTCTATCCATCTCCTGTGGAATCTTTGCAACAAACCCTATTCTTAGTAATATCTGCATTCCCAAAGGTTTACATAGATATGTTTACATATTCTTATTATTTTATCATCTCGTGTATCAACTGTATTTGATTGATTTCTCATCAGAGCCTCCTCCATGTCTATTGTTTTGCAATAAATAAAGAATTAAGAAATTTCGGCTAGCTGTTTAATTACAGCCGTGCCAGTTGTAAGTAAAAATAAATTAATTACACACATACTGATTCTAATCTAATCCTTATTTTTGTTGTCAGTGATAAATATCCTATTTTCACACTTACTGGGCCACAGTTTACAGTCTCCACATCTAATGATTCAGGATATTTTGTTAAAGGAAGGCTGAGTACGAAAACATAATTGTTTTAGCCAAATATCACAAAGGGATATGAAAAGCACTTGGACAAATTAAATTAAGAGATATTTAAGACTGGTTACATTTTTTTAAAGCAGCCCTTCAGAAGAAAAATGAGATTCAGAGAATAAGTAACTCTATGCTGTTCTTGGCAAAACTAATCTCAAAGAGCTTTGCATCATTGTATTGGCTCTGTCACAAGGCCAGCATTTTCAAGCTCAACAAGAAAAACTGGCTTTTGTGGTATGCAAACATTTTGAATTAGCTGCAAAAGGTGAAAACAAACAAACAAAAACCCGCAAAACAACCCCCCTTTTTCTAGATGAAATCCCAAAAATTTATCTGTGATTTTATCTAGAATCTGTAGTCTATTTATGTTTGTTTCCTGGCAACTTAAATGGACTTTGCTTTTAATCATAGTCCACAAATATTCAATAGGGTTAAGGTCGGGGCTTTGGCAAAGCTGTTCCAGAAGCTTGATTTCAGCCTGCTTTATCCATTTCAAAATCAGTTTTGATGTGTGTGTGGGAACATTGTCATGCTTCTGTCGAAGTTTCAATCATCTGTTGATTTGAGTTGAAGAATCTGAAGATGGTTATTTTTCATTACTCTATCCCCTTTCTGTATTGTATGGCACTGGCAGCAAAACAGCCCAAGAGCATGATGCAGCATGCTTGACAGCTGGTATAGTGTTTTTAGGTTCAAAAGCCCCACCTTTACTCCTTCAAACACACCTTATCATTCTGGCCAAATGACAGTGGCGTTCCAGCAGCTTCCAGTTCATGCCGCGTCACCCCTGGATGACACACTTGTATACCTCGTACTTATGTAGAATTGTTTGAACTGATGATCCTGGAATCTGTAATTGTTTAGAAATGTCTCCAAGAGACCTTCCAAATTTCTGTAAATTCAGATCTTAATTGAGTTCCTTGGACTTTCTCATAATTCATGATATTTGTCAGTCCAATGAGTGATGCCAAACATGTTTTATGTAGGCAAAGAGAAACCACCAGTCATTGTCAATAATGATCACCACTGAGAAGTTAGTAGGGCTTGGCCTTGCTAGTTAAAGTACACTTTAGAGCCTTCAGCACCACTTAATAAAAGATTTAAGTGAATGTATAAATATATTTGACCCTGTATGTGTACGTTTGACCCTGTGTGGGCTACAGAAATCCCCCCCCCCCAACACAAATTCTTAAAGGTGCATGCTATATAATCATTACAACCCAGAAATAGAAGAGTTCAAATAAATCATTAAAAAGCCAAAACAAATTACCATGATATTCATACCCATAATGAGTGTATGTGAACTTCTGACCACAAGTGTAAGTGCTTAGTGGGAAAAAGTACATAAACATAAACTACATTTCAGATAATTCTGTTTGTCTATAGTAAAATAAAATAAACTTTAAATATACTTCTCAGTCAAAATAAGAAGAGCTGCCCAGTATAAGAGCCGCACCCTAAAAAAGGAAAAACACACACGCACACAAACGTTGCACATATGTGAGTCCCAGGAACATTAGGGAGTCAACAATCATCTCCAAACGTAATCTCTGATTGGACAGCCCGGGCGCCATGGTAACATGGAAAACTAACACCACTGAGCTCTATGTCTCAGCAGACTTCAATAGAGAATAGATGTGAAGGTCTCAATTACTGTCCATAAAAATATGCCTTACTTAATGTTAGTTTTTCTAAAACAGTATTATGCAGTAGAGAAATACACCATATTTACCATTTATACATGCATAGGTAGATTCATGTAATTCAGTCTGTGTACTTACCTGGGATCAAGAAAACTGCAGCCCATAACAAGAATACAGAGAGCCAGGGCGGACAGCTGAGGTAAAATCCTGTTCTCAACTGAGAGCGGCTTAGTTTAAACATACTGCTCCTTTTTAAAATAGTCGCTAGTAGCTGGTCAAAATAATGAGTACAGTGTCCTCAAATATATAGTTTATATGTCACATGTAAAAAAATAAAATAATTAAGTATTCATATAGATACTTTATACTGATATTACCTGAATGGAGGTGCTACACACACACACACACACACACACACACATCTATCTGTGGAATACAAAGGAACAACAGCAGTGTGATACCTGTTGCTCTTGCTTTAATGTGAGCTCCTCCTGTAGCGTTTTCTTATTACCATAAAGCTTTCTGATTGGATAGTGACCACTTTAACAAAAGGTTACCTTGATATTGCTATTCAGCTGTTAATATTGCTTTCAACACCCTCCATTCTTCCTTTTGTAATCACAAGTTAATGAATACAAATTATGTACAATTTTAGAAAACCAATCAAAATGTGCTTGAGGAAATCAGTGTCCAGGCAGCTGAATAACAATGCAATACAATCTCTCTGTAAACAAGGGAAACTGAAGGAGCAAACAATGGCTGGGAAACTCAGGGTGCTAATTTGAAGAGAGCTGAACTCCACTGAAAGCAAATCACCTGCCACAAATTGCTGCTTTGTCTACAATAAGCTTTGTGTGTTTTTTGTCCAAGTTGTCTGTCTCTGTTCACTCTCCTATTACCCATTAAAATGTGTTTTTATTGATTTTTTTGGTTTGTTTTTATACTCCCCCACCTCACCACCACCACCACCCAAAAAAGAACTTCCTGGAAACACACAATTACTGTACACCTTATTTATTGTATACACTACCTAAACACCTACCATTTGTCAAATGTCCATGGTTTCAAATGAAAAGCTATTAAAAAAAAGAGTACATGACGTCTAAAGTGATGAAAAACTGTTTTTTATTATTTGCTTTCTTTTTTCTTTCCTTAAAAAAACCCTGCAAAGCTCACGTGTCTGCTACAAGAAAAGGTGGGGTACTCAGCAGACACATGAAGAAAACACATTAGAGGCAGAGGATAAAGTGCTTTATGTGAACTGTACTATATCCTCGAGGGAGCTGGCGTCCACATATGTGGACATCACATTTTGGGTTGTCTAGACCAAAATATTAAATGTTGCTTTACAAGGCCCTGATATCCACTTACGAGCACATTATACTGCTACTGTTCTGTCGAAATTTAAAATCAATGTCCACATATGTGGATCTCATTTTTCTCAGAAACAAAAATGAGGTAAAAAATAAAAAATAAAAAAATCAGGCAATTCTTTGTTTTTACATTCATCAGGTCCCAATCAGCCCAAATAGCAAAGAGAAATTACAAATACATGCCATGAAAGAGTTCAGGTCTTAGGGGGACACATATATAACATTTCTTTAAAATGTATATATGATTTTCTTTCAGCTATTTTAAATGCTCTGTGCCTGTTTTAAAAAGTCATTTTATCCATGGCCACTATTCGATAAAGCACACTATGAGAAAAAGCATCTAAAGCCCAGCTTACCTTCTCTTTGACCTTGCACACCCACTCATTTCAAACTTTGAAAATGCACTGTAAAGTTTTCTGAGTAACTGCTTTAAAAAAGGAATTACTTGTCTAGAAATAGGTTGGATTTTGTGGGAAGAAATTACATTTAAGGGCTTTAAAAGCATGAAACTGTCACTGCTCCCCTTTTCTAAATTACTTTAATGTGAACCTTTTACGAAACCTGTTCAGGACTTCCTCTGGAATCTACCTGGACACAATGAAGTTAGATTAGATTCAGCATTGCATATCACTCAGTAAGTACCAGTATGATAATATGCTATTTATGCAGAATAGTTTCCAGATAGATACAGAGCAGTTCCCTAGTACACCGTTATTTGGTTGGTGAGATGTTGCATTGGTACTGCTGCAATAGAAATTACTGGAAATTTAATCTGACTGATGGTTTTGATTGGTAGGGTACAGTTCACTGGACACTTAAACATGTAAAGTTTAAAAGGAAATGATAAGGTCTATGAGATATTAATGTCTAAATCTCTACAAAAAGTTGTAGAAAATGTTTGCAATAAGTTGCACAAAATTTGCATCCACACTAGTCTTCCTATATTATTCCGTAGAAACCTTTGTCATCATCTGACCAAATCCTTATGAAATAGTGTTTATCTACAAGCCCACCACAAGAGCTGTACAGTGTCATCAGCTATTCAACAGCTGCTATTTAGCAGCTAAGTGAAATTGGTTGCAATGAGGATGCCCAATCAAAAACCTTGTGATTGCTTTGGTGGTTAGCTGTAGGTAGCCTATAGTTTGGATGGAAGAATCCAACTCATCTGTAAATACTTAAGGAACATGTAAGGAGAGATCATTTGGAAGAATTGAACATGATTGGAGAAAATTGCAACAACTGTGAGGGTTGTGGACCCTCAATCCCTTCCTCAAGGCCGATAAGGCGGACATTGCAGTGTCTGTTTCTCGACTCCATGCCCGATAACTTAGCCTTCAGCTTTTCATTAGCGACCCATAGTGTCTCACAGGTATCCTCCACTTTAGCAAGGCGCTGGTCGAGCGTTTTGGCGCTTTCCTCCAAAGATTCTAGGCGCTCACCATGGTTGTCCGATGCCTTCTGTAGTCCGTCCAGCTTTTTATTCACATCGTCAAAAAAGCTGACTTTTAGTTCCACCAGTAAAGCCGAATGGTGCTCCACTAGCAGTGCTGTTATTCGCAGGAACGCTAGCAGCTGCGCATTCGGTTGTTTTGTCATTCGACTTCGCATGTTTAGGCGACATGGCAGGGCATCAAATGTTCCGACGGCTTCACCAAACCACCAAGATATCTGCCTCAAAAAATAAGTTAGGCGGGCTCGCTCAAATAACTAAAAGTTGCGGGAGCTAAGGGAAAGTGTGACTACCCCATGCTCGTCAAAACCGGAAGTCTCTCGATTGGAGAAAATTGATGTATTTAGCAATTAGACTCTGATGGCCAATTATGACAAAATGTAATGCCAGTGGTTATAGGATTCTAGTTGCTCGTGGTGGTGAAGATGAAGATGGATTCTTGAATGGAGCTCTGACTGACGTGGACATGGGTTGCACGAAGCCTGTAAAGGAGAATGAAGAAGAGGACAGATTTAAAACACAGAGTGGAGGCTGATTGACTCAAACAAGGCAGGCAAGAAGATGATTGGACAAGTGTTGACAGTATTAAGTTTGACAGGAAGGGAAAGGAGTAATGAAGTAAAGAGTAGACTAGGAGCCAAACACCCAGGAATAGACTTGCCTTTTATTGTCATTGCACATGTGCAACGCAATTATGGAATAAAAAGGGGGAAAGATGAATGATTGCAGATCTTCCTTTTTAAACTCACACATAATCTTCATTAAATGAACTATAACCATTTGGGGAATACATATTTTTTCTCATCAACCAGTGGTCACTAGACCTGTGTGATTGAGGCATTCTTCACTTGACCCTCACATATCCAAAGTTACTGTCAGGTAGTTAATGATCAAAAAAACAAGATGAGCGATTAAACCTTCACCATATTATATCTCTGTTCAGTTTCTTCCTGCTCTAGTGTCATCTACACTGTGACGCTATATTAAAATAAAGTTGGTTACTTTTTTCTGTTTCAGTTGTCAAACTATTTGAACTAATTATAAAACATGAATAAGCGAACAGTAACAACATCAAGAAAAAGCCATTGACAGCATCTCTGATGTCTATCAATTCATCAAATTAAACACTGCCCTATCAAAGGCCACGCAACCCTTGATCCTTTGTTTTTGTTTGAGCCATTAATTTGAAAATGCTACACAGTGACAAACTAATCTGCAATTTTGTTCACACACTGCTAACTATTTTGAAAAGGGGTCAGTTTTAGTTAAGAGGAATTTTTGTCTGGACAGATGGCTGAAAAATTTAAAAAACAAAAAAAACAAACCCAAAAACAAAAAAACAAAAAAGATTTTAGAACATCAGTGTACATAGTTAAAGTTATTCTGCAATATTATTATGTGAAGTGATGAGGACATCCTGTCTTTTGTTAACCTGTTTGGTAAGGGAGTGAAAAGAGGCAAAGAGGAACCTTAATTTACATTTGTTAGGGACACAAAAACATCTCTAAACAAATGCTTGTCATCTGCTGTAGGTACAAATAACTGTTTGTTCTGGGTCTTTTTATTGTCTGGGTAATTTTGTTGTCTTGGAATGAAAACAACTGAAATAAAAACGTGTGGAATAAAGCCATTAGAACTGTTCATTTATTTGCTCATTGTTCCAGTCTTCTGAGAACTTGCTTTAAGACAGCAGTGATCATTCTAACCACAAAATAAAATTAAAAGGAAAATAAAGAACTGCCATGAAAATAAGAGCAAACGATGTGCCAGATTTTTGGTTTTGGCTAAGTAATTAGAAACTCTGAACACCTCCATATGAGGTTTGGCACAAATGGAGACAGATGGACTCAAAGACATAAGATCCAAACCAGAACAAGAGGAATTTTCATTGTTTGTACAGGCATGCAAGCCCTTCTTGTTCCACACACTTGTTGGTATGGTTTTCACTTGCTGTGCCTCAGAAGTCATTTTTAAGCAGTCATAATGATCTGAACGTCCTTGTCATTTTAACTAAGAAAAGAGACTCAGAAAGAATCAGGTTTTATTTCATAACAAACCGTAAAAGTTGCAGAGTACACCGTTGTGCCCTCGACCTGACTGAATTTTCTTTACTCATTTATTTTTCACACTGAGAATGGCTTCAAAGCCTGTACACATTTATATGGAGATAATACAGTTAGAGCTGCAGGTTTTTGGACAATGACTCAGTTTTTGTGATTTTGCCTTTGTACACCAGCACAGTGGATTTTAAATCCAACAATCAAGATGTAATTGAAGTATCAACTTTCATGTTTAATTCAAGGGTTTTAACAAATGCACTGCATTATCTGTTTTTATACTCAGGCCCCCATTTTCAGAGACTCCAAACTAATTGGTCAAACTAACACAAGGATTATTTTTAATAACTGGATGAAAATCCTTCTCAGTCTGTGTCTGCCTGAAGTCTATAACCCATGGACATCCCCAAATATTACTCTGCTTCCTCCTTTGTTCTGCTTGGACTTCATTGCAGCTGCTTTCAGCTGCTGCTTGTTTGTGGGACTCTCCCCCTTCAGTTTTGTCTCCAGCAACTGGGTGAAGTCTTTTCCAGTCTTCTTATCTATTCTTCTCCAAGTTCAAAGTTACATTTTATTTGCATAATATTGCTCTTGCTCTATAGTGCCAATTCTCCTTCTGACTTACAACTGATTACTCCATTCTCTGTATGTATATATGTATGTATGTTTGAATGTTCCAAGATTCATATTTGAAAATTTGCCTCAATTTTTCCATGGTCTTACAAAGATGTTATATCTGACAATGTCTCTACTGTTCAAGAATCAAACGCCTCTCTTGGCTTTATTTGCTGGAATTTGCACAGCCGATTCTTTGCCAACTAGGTCACAAGCTCACTTGTTCACAGTTCCAAAGTGCACTATTATGAAAGCCGCCCAGGCTTTGCAAGATAAGATAACCTAATTGATACAGAGAAGAAAAGGGAATACAGGCTGGATTTGAGTGTCTGAATCCTCAGTTTACCGGCACACGCTAAGTTGGCACTAAAGAAAGTAACTATGACTGCGGAAATTTGGGACGTTATAGTTGTTGGTGCTGGACTTTCTGGACTGAGTGCAGCTCATTGGCTTAAAAAAAGGGATGCCAGTATGAAAATACTGATTCTGGAAGGGAAAGGTTTGTAAAATTTCATGCTATTTAAAGGCAACTGGTAACTTGTAATGCAGAATTATATAATGAAGCAAAAATTATTGCACTGTTATAACAGAATTATGACTGTTCTGTCATGCAGATCGGGTGGGAGGGCGCACAGTGACTGCCAAGTTACCAGCAGCCAGTGGTGTTGATTGCTGGGACCTTGGAGGGCAATGGGTAGGAAGGTAATGTTGATCAAATAAATACATTAACCCCTTAGCAGTCCAATTAGTCCCCTAAACCATCCAATGTACCGTGGGCTAACAGGTTAATACTGAAGGTAGAAACAGAAATGGAGTAGAATTACAGTAAACATGACTCAAATGCAAATGTGTTATTCTCGAAAAAGGGGAGACGTTTCGACTGAGTCACTGGGATTTGGAAGATTACCCAGAAAATGAAGACCTTAGCTAAACAAATGAAATTTATCCACAATGATTGCAACAGATTGTTGCCTATTGTTGAATGGCCTAGTTGTACAATGATTATCACTGACACCTGACAGCACAGACAATGACAAATGCTGGCTGAATGAGAGCTGGGACTGACTCCAGCTTCCCATGATCATGTAAAGAATAATATATGTGAATATATATGAATGCATTGCTTACGGAAACATTATCTTTACGGCACAGACAGAGCATTTAGATTATGATGTTGTTAACACAGGCAGATAAGGTACTGGCAGATGCCCACTTATAAGAAAACCCTTGGATAGGATTGGTTGATGTGAATGAGGTTACTTGATACTGTTTATGTAATGCAATGTAATACTGAGATTACAGGGTTAAAGTCTCAGAGAAACTAGTCGCAAAGTGTGTATTGCAGGATTTCTTAGCAGTATTCTTACAGTTTACTACTGAACATTTATCTAGAACAACAATTACTACATTTATCTATCTATCTACAAATAAACACCCCTCTCTCTCTCTCT